CTTAAGAGGCTCCTACATTCCTACGGAGTGGGTGAAGACCTCGTGAAGGGCTTAAGAGGCTCCTACATTCCTACTGAGTACACCAGGCCAACTAACTGTCATCTGTTTAATTAAATGATTATCAGCATGGCATTTCCACATAAATGGCGGTCCCAGAAATGTACCCATTGTCAGCCATTTATAATCTCTTTTCCGTTCGGCTAAAACAATTAAAGAACCCGTTAACAATAATTATCAGAGCAGACATAGGGGAAATGCTTGAGAATAGACCTACATACACAAATACAACACTCAGTAAGAGCACCAGTCACCGACCTTAATTGTATCTTGAATAAATATATTTTCGCTAACAGAAAATTTAATTGAATTGCCTCTTTTTGGAAATGAAATCGGAATAAGAATGTACAGATTAAAACAAAAAGTTTCATTCAATTATCGAACTTTCGTTTTGTTACAGTCACCATTTGTCCAAAACAGTCCTGTTACGGTCTAAAAGGTTAAGTGAAAATATATAAGTCAATCTGTAAATCATTGATATCGGAATGTCGAATTTTTTTTTTTTCATACCTATTAGTGTTCATAGTCCTCTCGAAGGGAAAAAGCAATTTAAAAGCATTCTCATTCATATCAGGGAGGGCAATTTCGAAACACTTTTAGCGACATCCACATTACGACTGCCTATTGTTTTGAATTGATTTTGAATGGGCATTTCGTCTTTTCGCTTTTCTGCCCATTTAAATGACGCAGGGCGAAAACAGCGAAATAACGAAAAGACGAAAGCCCTCCAAATCGTTAAATCTGGAAAGAATCAAAAGCTATATACCTGGAGAGGATGTTCCGAACTTGTATAAATCTTTTACAGCCATTTTTACTGAAATGGTACATAAGTCGCGTCCCGTATAACGAACTATAAATACTACAAACCTGAACTCTAGTGTTTAGTTACGACAAGAAAAATTTCAGAGAGGTATACTTTGGAATGAGATAGATTCTGACCAATCCTTATTTAAACACTTGAAATGTCCATCAACGAATTGCGTTTTGCTTGTGAAAAATATCTCCATATGAAATCTATGGTTTTCTTTAATCTTACGGCAATGTAAACGACATGCATGTGAACAGGCTGGCTCTTAATTCTAGATTTCATCAAACATGACGTGAAAACCGAGCACAGCGCATGATCTTACTGTTATTTCGTCTGCTATCTATACCTCGCCCCAATATAATATAGAATATGCGATACATGGATTCAGTAGTCTTATGGAGTTGATGTGTATTTAACAGTGAATGAATAACCGAATTAACGTCAGATAGGTCAAACCAAACAAAATTTGTAACAGTTATTTACATATATATATATATGTCCTAGAAATAAAACAATAACAATGATTTGTTATTGACAATAGATAAGGAATTTAGTCGTGTGTTAGATATAAGTCAGGACGATGAGATAGAAAGGGTTCAGCGCACGGGGATGTCAAGGTTAACGACAGGTATAAACTACACCTAATAGGTAGGTGACAGGGCTACCTGACAGTTCTTTCATTCCTAATAAGTAACAAGCAATAACTGTCCAAATAAATCATTAACAGACTTGTATCGTAAAATAAAGTATATTTACAATACTGTCACATTACATCAATTAATAACAAGGTGACGTTAATTTCACTATTGGTGTCAGAATATTCGGCCAATAATACAGAGTATAACTGTAGCAATGATATTGGGCGGTTATGGTGGCTCATTTCTGCCATTCCGTTGTTTCGTTTTGTCGCCCCGACCAAACGAAAATTATCGCCTTTTCGCCCACGCTAAATTTCGTCTTTTCGCAGCGACATAACGATAATTATCGTCTTTTCGCCCCGCTAGTTATTGTCTTTTCGCCACGACAAAACGAAAAGACGATCATTAGCGCGGCGAAAAGACGATCATTAGCGGGGCGAAAAGACGATAATTATCGTTCTGTCGGGGCGACAATACGAAACAACGAAATGGCAGAATCAGTCACCATAGACGGCTGCTTCAACAGAGGGACGCTCGAGTTATGGTCGACACTCCGTTCCATAGAGCTGGTACAACTCAGAGCATGGCCATGTCTCATTAGAGGCGAGGACACCTCCCTCCCCTCGTGTATGCTGAACGCTTATTACATTGGTCAAATCGGACGTTAAACATGTCAACCAGCCAACCAGCCAACCACCAACCACCAACAAACTAATCAACCGACGTATCAACCAACAACCAACCAACCATTACCAACCAACTTACCAACCAACAACCAACAACCAACCAACCACCAACAAACTAATCAACCGACGTATCAACCAATAACCAACCAACTGATAACCAGCCAACCACCAAACAATCAACCATCAACCAACCACCAACCAACCAACCATCAACCAACCAACTTAGCAACCAACAACCAACCAACCGATAACCAACCAACAACCAACCACCAACCAAATCAACCAACCAATCAACCCAACCAATCAACCCAACCAACTTATCAACCAACCAACAACCAACCACCAACCAAATCAACCAACCAATCAACCCAACCAACTTATCAACCAACCAACCAACCAACCAACCAACCAACCAACCAACAACCAACCAACCAACAACCAACCACCAACCAATCAACCCAACCAACTTATCAACCAACCAACAACCAACCAACAACCAACAACCAACCAACAACCAAACAACAAACAAACATCCAACCAACCAACCAATCAATCTATCAGAACGGAATACGGACGTATTAGAATAATTGTAGTTCTAACTTGAATTTGTTAAACGGTGAAGAATATGAACAATAGCGATATTTACATAGGTTACATAAAATACATTGATGTCAAAACAAAATCCATCAAATATTCTGTAAAACAAGAACCGAAATGTACAGGATACAAATTCTTGTATCATAACAAGTAAGAGAACTATGTGTAACGTCTCTACACTATACCTGTGTGGAGCGTACTGAGAGTTCATTAAAACAGGTCACAAATACTTTGACAAATCCTTCCGTTTCTCCTTTTGATATCTCTATACTGATGACAACACGGAAAACAAATGAGATGTAGCCTGACAACAAACTATCTGATAAGCCGGTGATGCTGTCCCTATCGTGATTTTTTCAATTTCTTGATAGCAACACTTCTGCAACCCATACTTGTGGTATTTTACATATCACAGTTGATTAGTTATGCAAGGGCTTGCTCCAAATATCAAGATTTTGGTGCTGGCAAAATATGAACACCTGCCAGATAAACCAGCAACACAGGATTCCGAGAAATGTACGTTGATGGAGATTATGGGTAACTGCTGGTTCATGCTCGGCCTCATTTTGGAACGTAACATTACTTATTTGCATTTCCCAAGATTTACATGGTGAGTGTCGTGGATGAAACCGACGACGCTTACCCTTCCGAAACACCTGGTCATATTCCCCTTGTACATATTTTGCCGTTATATCAGACGATTAAGTTAGCTTTAATAATTAGGTTGATAAATGAGATCAGTTTTGGTTTTCCCTTTCTCAGTATTAATCACTTTCTATACATCGCTGTTAGTGTGTCAGTTTCGATTCATCCAACGCACCTTTTTTTCAACGAAAATTGAAAAAGTTGGAATAAAACCGATGTACGAGGAAAGAAAAATGAAAAGACGTTTTTACATTTACAAGTTAAGGTACCGTTATCTTGTTTAATGTACATAAAAACATAACTATTTTACAATTTTTGTTTCTGTTTTCCGGTTTGTCTTTATCACCAACTGTCCAGAGTTTAACATCAGTGTTTTCCGTTTAACGTCGACCGTTTTTCGTTTGTGTTTATAATGTGTGTATTTGTCCGATCGTTTTCCGTTTCGTTTGTGTTTTTGAGTGGGATAGGGGTCTTTATTGAATATGTCATACACTGGTCTAAAATAGCACATATCTATGTCTAGTTAAATACAACGTTTAACGTTTTAACATCAATCAATATACATTTATGTAAAATGCTTAGATCTGCACTGACACCTCACTCATATATACAACAATAATATGCATTAGTTTTATCTTGTGTTGTAATAGACCTCAATATCCTCCGTTTTGTATCATGTATTTGATATAACCTCGAGCTGCCTTGACCGTACACATGTGTATATAGAGTTGTTATATCTAGGTATATAACTGTCAGTAAGTATTGTAACCCCGCCTTTGTTGACAAGGTCACGCACATCTGTTTTCTTTTTCTGCTGCTATTTTCACTTTTCCCGGATTTTTACCGATACGTTATTTTCCATTATAAGTAAAAACGACATGTGGAGGCATTTGTACAACAAAGTACAACTAACAACCAGTTTTTTAAGGTCTGGTTTATTTACATTTTAATCCGTCTTCTTTCTTATATCAAAATCTGCACGCGTGACCACGAATGAAACATATTTTCAGTGCGGACTTTTATGATGAATCGACAGTTTGAGGAGGAATTTCCTTCTTAATGTCCAATCATTGTTAACTGTTGCTACCTACACGGTATTTACAGAAATAGCTTGGTGCGGTTTTTACCAGAATCAACCTTGCCTTAATAGATTTACATGTGTATACAAATTGTACACAACAAATTCTACCTAATTTGGTTATGTAAATAAGGAAACAGACCTTGTCATTGTAATAAAGTCATTGTCTACATTACATATACTAACTCATATTTAATACAGTGACATCACTAGTGACGTAAACACGAGCTCTGTAACAGTATCTAGGAAAACCTCAGTCATTAATATAGTCTATCCCTTGTCTATCAATTATACAAAAACACTATTTAATCGACGCAATATTTTTATTTAAATTTCCCTCGTGACGTCATCACATGGATCAAATATTTAGTCGCGTAAGCGTCCCTCTTTACCTGTCTCCGGTTTCCGTGTTCACGGTTGAGTGACTTTCGTATTATGTATAAAAAGACTAGGTGTTGTCTTTACTGAGATATCAGACATCAGACATCACCATGAGCATCTTCACCACTCTCCTGACTCTCGCTGTTGTGATAGCAGGTAAGTCTTGTATGCCTTCGCTAGAAATGTTTTATACCAGAACAAATCTATAGTAAAAGTACTGCTAATGGGTAATTATATCTGTCGATTCTTGTTGATCGCTAATGGATTTGGCATTCATTATAAATAAATTATGATGATGGATAATTTGAATAAAGAACATAAAATGTTTCCACTTCTTGATTCTAAAATGTTAAATTAATTTTAACTTTTGTAGATATGTATTGGAACAAAACTTGATCTTTTGATGGTTTTTGAAGTATCATAAAAGTCCGACAGATAATTATATATAATATATCTGTTTAACATAGAATTGTCGGGGAAATGACAGCTCATGAATATATTTCTATTCAATCTTTGTTGTAGCTGTTCAATGTGTTCCGTCCACGAGGAAAAAGACTACCTGTGAAAACAAGACAGCTTACTTAAAATGCCGGAAAGGGTACACAATATCTATTATAACAGCCAGGTATGGTCGCACTGACCATGCTACATGTCCCAGTAAGAAAATTCGGACAACCTATTGCTCATCACGAGAATCTTTTGGCATTGTAAAGCGTTCTTGTAACGGTCGGAAATTCTGTAAGGTGCGAGTGACGAACAAAGTGTTCGGGGATCCATGTAGAGGGACATACAAATACCTTAGCGTCAGATACATGTGCAAGAAAATCGCTTCGACAGGTAAGTCTAATATTTACTTATAGATGTAAGATGAAAATAGATATCTAAACATAGCACGTGATTAAAGCGCGTATAAGTTAACAACCATGAAGATGGTTTTATAACATGTGTGATAATAATTCATAACATTAAAAAATAATTGTACCGCGAAAATATAGCACTCTCCTTTTTAACCTTATGAGTCAATACCATAGCAGAAAACATTTCAGTTTTTATCATATAATTGGAATGATATCAAATAAATTAGCAAATTATCAAATTATATATATATATATATTGTATATTTCACTAATTTGATAAACCATGAAACGTTCATTATTGCATTCATATAGTTGAATCGCCACCCTATAGTCCAGCATTTTAAGTTGTTCTTTCACACTCATCGACATTTAAAATTTTTTTTATAACCTGTGTTCTAGGTATAAGCAGAAGCATCACTTGTGAGAAAAAGAAGAGCACCTTGTCCTGTCGACGTGGTCAGGTACTGGATATCGTGTCAGCTAACTATGGCCGAACTGACCCTAACACGTGTTACAGCAGGTTAATTAAGACCACGCACTGTTCATCGTCGAAATCATTCTACAAGACCAAGACGCGTTGCCAAGGTAAACGGAGCTGTCGTTTATACTCGTCCAACAGTGTGTTTGGTGATCCCTGCCGCGGTACATACAAATACCTAGACGTCAAGTACAGATGTGTTGGTAAGTAAGATATACGACTTTAAATCGATCTTTTTACTGTGGTCTCAGTTGGGAAAACTTAAAAAGTTGTACGAATTCAAATGCGAGAATCACGTATTAAGTAATAAGTGAAAATTTGCTTTAAAAAAAGGATAATTTCTCGTCAAATTTCTGCGAATTACGGACAATACTTTTTCTGTGTTTACGCTATATTTGAACGATGTGTAAACCTCGCTTTAGTTGTGCACCATGTCCATATCCAAGGATGTAGAACAGATCATTTATTACAAAAATAATCCATCGTTCTTGTTCGATTACAACTGTAAGAAATTGGTCCGTAAAGCATTCTAAACAGCTAATTAGAGGTCATATCAACACAGGCTTCGTTTTTTTTGTAGTGACGTCACATTCTTATATTTACAATTTATGTTTCATGTATTTCAGCCTATCAGAAGCCCAAGACGTTCACAAAGACAATTTGTGAATCAGAGAAAGTGACAATGATATGTCCGTCCAGCATGCAGCTGAATATACTTTATGCCTCCTACGGACGAACAGACGGACATACTTGTAGCAGGTATGGGATGATGAGGGACACAAGCTGCAGCGCACCCGGATGTGTCGAGCGAGTCAGGAAATACTGCCACGGTCATCATTCCTGTACTATCAAGGCCTCTAACTCGTTGTTCGGTGATCCGTGTCGAGGCACGTATAAATATCTAAAGCTGAAGTACCAGTGTGTGTACTAACTTTCCAACCGTTCCCTCCAAGCTCTCGTGTTCTCATTTCAATGTGATTCCCTACTACTTGTATTATATTTGCCCAGTGATAATGAAATCCCTTAGGTGACATTATAACTTTATGTTGATATTTGATAATAAAAAATGCTTATCAAACATCGTTCTTATTTTATAAAGGAAAACTTAGTTATTAGTGAAAATGAACACAAGCACTTGTTTATATTATAAGACAGTCAAATGTCTTCAAATTATTGTAAGGCATTAGACGTATTAGTACCCACTAAACTGATGTCAAAGTCAGGGTACTACTGTTATCATAGGGCCATATAAGGTTTAATTTCATCACGAAGCCGATCACGGTCACTGACACGTTCTTATCATCATGTATATTGAGTAAGCTCCCCTGATATATATACACAATGAAGAGGAACACGGTAACTGACACGTTCTTATTATCATGTATATTTGAATTAACTCCCCTGATATATATACACAATGAAGAGGAACACGGTCACTGACACGTTCTTATTATCATGTATATTTGAGTTAACTCCCCTGATATATATACACAATGAAGAGGAACAGGGTCACTGACACGTTCTTATTATCATGTATATTTGAGTTAACTCCCTTGATATATATATACACAATGAAGAGGATCGCGGTCGCTGAAACGTTCTTATTATCATTTATATTTGAGTTAACTCCCCTGATATATATACACAATGAAGAGAAACATGGTCACTGACACGTTCTTATTATCATGTATATTTGAGTTAACTCCCCTGATATATATACACAATGAAGAGGATCGCGGTCACTGAAACGTTCTTATTATCATGTATATTTGAGTTAACTCCCCTGATATATATACACAATGAAGAGAAACAGGGTCACTGACACGTTCTTATTATCATGTATATTAGAGTTAACTCCCCTGATATATATACACAATGAAGAGGATCACGGTCATTGAGACGTTCTAATTATCATGTATATTTAAGTTAACTCCCCTGATATATATACACAATGAAGAGGATCACGGTTATTGACACGTTCTAATTATCATGTATCTTTGAGCAAGCTGTTTGATTGGATAGTTTTTCACACAAAGGATAGGACGACATGTATAAAAAAAGACGGAATGACATACCACAAAAATGATGATATGTCACACAAATACACTTACATCATTTATTAATCAGTTTTTCACATAAAGGGTCCTGGCACCATATCAGTTACCTCCCTTGAACCTGATGGGATATAGCCTAGTGTTATGAGCCCAGTAGTGCAAAAGGGCATGGTGTTAAAAAGCAATGGCCAACAACCCGTGGCGAACACGACTTGGAACTATGGCTGACCGGAAGCTGATGGGTACCATAGTTTGGTCATTCACGTGTCCAGGAGTCAGCGAGGGTCGGAAGTTCTACCACTTGGGCCTAAGGTTCGACTTATTGTCTTACCCTGGGTCATTGTTGATGTATGCAGTCCAGCTAACCTACGTTCTGGAGTTGGACTGACCGCTTTGAAGTATATACCATCAGACTGATATCATTAATAATACATGGTTATATGTTATTTCATAATGTAAGTTTAGCCCCATAGGAGTATGATAAACATGAGTTAGAAGTATGTGATGATACGAAGACCCCAACAAGGGAAAAAGGGAAATAAGAAAAAGAAACATCCAAAGCGCAACCTATTATTATACAGCATGGCATAAACAAAAGTACCTATGTGTAAGTATAGAACATGTCTATACGTGATATCCTAAGACATTATTAACATACTTCCCTGGAAATTCACAAATTAGCATCCTTACAGATATGCTCGCCCTGAATTGGGTACACATGAATCCTGGATAACTGTTGGCAGACTAGCACATCACTACACAAATAGAAGTGGATTGATGTTAAGGCCGTATCAATCCACTTTACTTATATTAACACTGCATATCGAAGTGGATTGATGTTAAGGCCGTATCAATCCACCTTATATATCTTAGCACTGCATATGGAAGTGGATTTATGTTAAGGCCGTATCAATCCACCTTATATATCTTAGCACTGCATATCGAAGTGGATTGATGTTAAGGCCGTATCAATCCACCTTATATATCTTAGCACTGCATATGGAAGTGGATTTATGTTAAGGCCGTATCAATCCACCTTATATATCTTAGCACTGCATACCGAAGTGGATTGATGTTAAGGCCGTGTCAATCCACCTTGTTCTCGGCAAACAAAATCAGAAGAAACGAACACTTTTAAATACGGCGGATTGGATTGTCAGTCTATATTTTAAGCCTGAGGTTCCGGGGACGGATGACAAACTACAACACTTCAAATAATTTGACGTTTACTTCATATCTACTTCTTTCTTGTAACCTCCGGCGGCATACCTTCAGAATAGGTAATCTTCCAGCGTTATTTTTTAAGAACAAAACAAACTTATTTCATAAGATTAAAGATAAAAAAACCACATGGAGCAACACTGGTTTCCTATTGTAGATGTGGCGATTGTTAACGATAATGCAAACTTTTGATATTTTCCCGGGGAAAAATGTGTTTATTTTTTGTCGCCATTTCCTTGTAAAAACGTCGATAAATCCGTGTTTTAGATCCAAAAGATTTGTCGGTAATTAGATTGACCACCTACGGGCATTACTTACAAAAGAAGTTCCATTTAATTTTTAAAAGATTGGTGATCAGTGCGAGATATCACTCTATACTAGCTCTTGGCGCATTCACAGATGTTGGTGCGTTTGATGTATTGCCATTTTGCCCAAATAAAAACCTGTTTAGCTTACAGCTCTATATTAGCCAGACCATAAGACCTAACGATACAAAAAAAGCCCTTTGTTATCGTGCCACGTGTCTATAGTTCCACGTCATCTGTCTGAATTTACATTAACGATTGAATGTTCTGTTTATAAGCATTACAAAATGCGTATCTGAAATCACAACGAAAGTCTGTATAACAATGAAAACCTGTGTTGCTTTGTTGACTCTCGCTGTTTTGGTAACAGGTAAGTCTGTTGTTTTATACTCGGATAGTAGTAAGGTACTAAACTAATGAATGCTCGTTAGTTTATCTTTTGGTTACGTTGGTGTTTTCTTTTATTTGAGTATTCGGGAACGTGATATTTCTTACTTAGAACGACTAAGACTTCCATGGCGCAAGTCATCGATGATGAAGCAGAAGACGCTTACTCTTCTGGAACCCCTGGTTTGATTCTCCTTGTATTTTTACATGAGGCTTTATGTACATATTTCTTTGTCTGTTATTCGCCCAAGTCTTATGTACTTCAGTTTGAATTATGATTCTGTTGACATGCTGGTATTTTCTTTGTTGTTGTTTTTTTTAAATACAGAACAGAAGAAATATTTAAGTATAGTAAAGGTATTACTGTGTCTAGTAAGGATATATTTAAGGAATAAATGATAGAGTGTAGTTAGGATATTAATTATAATTGTAGTGGTTCTTTCCGAATTGGAGATATGTATAAGCGAAGACAACCTCGACGCTCTAGATTGCCAGGAAGGGTTCACAATCTCAATCACTAATGCCAGATATGGCTCGTCTAATGGTTCTATGTGTCCATGGATATCCAGCTGCTTTGAAGATACGTCTCAGATTGTGCGACAAAGTTGTGACGGTCTGACATCCTGCAATGTGCTCCCGAACAATATAGCGTTTGGGGATCCTTGTCCAGGAACGCTTAAGTATCTTGGTATCAGATACTTATGCAAGAAAACAAAACAGAATGGTAAAGTACCAGTAATATAAAGTATATCCAACTTATTCATTATGAAATAATGTTTCAGTAGCTTGGTTAATGACTTTAAAATGACAGTAACATTTTGAACTGTTTTACCATAAATGGCTTAATAAAAGGAATAAGAATGGTTAAACTCATCAATTTGCTTAAAACAATTATTGGTTGAAAGTGTCTCAGGTGGTGTACGGTACTTTTATTTTGTTTTTATTTCTTCTTTCAGATGAGATTTGATTACATTTATTGCTGTTTAAATTCTGTAAATCCTACAAAACCTGTCAACATATGTTATCGTTCGTGTTAGAGACAGGCTTAAAACCGATATACAAGACCAAACACATGTTATCATGTGTTATCATTAGTGTTAGAGACAGGATTGAAACCGATATACAAGACCAAAAACATGTTATCATGTGTTATCATTAGTGTTAGAGACAGGATTGAAACCGATATACAAGACCAAAAACATGTTATCATGTGTTATCATTAGTGTTAGAGACAGGATTGAAACCGATATACAAGACCAAAAATATGTTATCATGTGTTATCGTTCGTGTAAGAGACAGGATTGAAACCGATATACAAGACCAAAAATATGTTATCATGTGTTATGGTTAGTGTTAGAATCACGGTGAAAACCGATTCACCACCTCCTTCCATATACAGAATTTATTCATTGTTTTAACTGTGTGAATATCTAGGGGTGGGAATTGCGCTGATTCACTATTCATATTTTATCATCTCATCAACGACGTAAACCATGACGATAACTTGTATGTAATAAGTTCATTTTGAATGAACAATAACAATAATTCTCCTGCTTGTTGAGGCAATACAGGCACTCGAGAAACCTTATGTTTGCCAACTTGATAATCCTCGCTTCGGTTTCAGATCCCACCAAGGAGAATTAGTAAGATAAAGGTAGTTTCTTTCTTAACATTTGATATCAGCAAACCCTGGAATCTGTTTTGTTGTTAGGTATGAATAGCCCAAACAGCATGTGCTATACAGTCTTACGTGGAACACATTTCTTGGTAATTCAATCTGTTTTTTCCGAGGCTTTAGATATATAGATATTCTAATCTTATCATCAAAGACGCTTTTTTACATGAAAATTTAACGTGACATCAACAACGTCAAGATCAATAAATAATTGACATCTGTTTTGTGATTTATGGACACTATTTGTTCCAGGTGTAAGGAGAAGCGTCACGTGTGAAAGTGAAACGAGCACCTTGTCATGCCCAATTGGCGAACGTCTTGTCATCGTTTCCGCTAACTTTGGCCGAACTGATTCTCTCACATGCTTTCCCATTTCTATGCATACAACAGATTGTGTGTCCCTTACAGCTGTCGACAAAATCAAGGATCTTTGTCAGGGTAAACAAACCTGTCTTTTAGATGCGTCAAACAGTGTGTTTGGTGATCCATGCCCAGGCGTAACCAAATACATAGACGTTAACTACATATGTGCTGGTAAGTAAATTAAGTAACCGTAAATTTTTAGGACGTTACTGTAAAATTATATATTTTCATGAGTTTAGATTTTGGGCTTTTTTTCTATTTGTGGACACATTGATTTTGCGAATTTATATAGCCATGTGAAACTATGAATTCTTTGAGTATTCATGGAATTAATTGAAACCAAGCCCTCGCGTATATGAATGATTTTACATTATTGTGTCTTGTTGGTATATATTGAAGATAAAATTTGAGAAAAGAAGATAAGGGAAGGCTGAAATTAGCAAATACATTGATAAGATATGTGATATATGATATCACCGCCTCATTTTCACAATATGCATCATATACTTTTCAGCCCGTCCAACGGTGATAAATTTGTCTCCGCAGTCCTATAGATAAAAAGTGTCGTTCTCCGTGTGATTACCTATGATTTGTTAACGCATCCAGTGTGTTAATGTAGTGCTTCAGGTTCAAGTCAGAGGAAATCAAACAATTATTGTTAAGAGTGCCATCAACTCTGAATAAAGTAATTCCACACCAACTTTGTCTACATTGTTCTATGTGTTATTTGTGGTAGCAATTCATTCAAAAGATTTAATTGTCATGTTTTTCTGAATAAAGGAATTGCCAACAAGCATTGCCTATAAAATTCCCCTCCATTGTACTATTATCGCCAAATAACGAACGACTACAGTAAAATACCAAATACTCCCATTATTAGTAGTAATTATACTCAATGACTGGGACAAGAATCGGTCCGAAAGTCAACTTGCATGGAATGCAAGAAAAGGCAATTGGACATACATATTTATCCTCCTTTGCTGAATCCATACAGATACCAACCTGAAACAACAATGTATGAACGGGATGCGATCGCTCAGGTCAGAAAGAGAAATAAATAGGAGTTGTCTGTTGTTAGCGAAAAGAAGACAATGAAGAAAGAAGTGAGACCATTCTTCAACTGGATGACTGCAGGTACACACAGGGCTATTTATTCAGTGGGAATTAAATAAATCATTTATCCTGTCGACCAATATGATAATGCCCTAACTCACATGCTTCTTAAATAACATATTTGTCTATTGTAAACTATATATATTCCTGGCATATTAATTTGTCAAAAACATGTAATACAATATATAACGAACTTCCCTCATGCCCGACCCCTCCCACACTGTCCAATGTACGTACCTGTATCCTCAGTCTGTGCTTGTCAGTAGTTACCAATTTGGTCATTTCCAATACCAGATATGACCGGCCTGACTGTAAGTGCGTTAAGTACATACCTTGCTTTTCTTGTTTTCTGTTGAGGATTACTTATATTATATGTACATACACTCTACTTATTGAGTTATGCAAATAGTCTGACACACGTCAGTGTAAAACACGTGCTCTGTCCCAATCTTATATCGCATCTATCTGCACATTTCCCAACCAATGGACAATATTTCTAGTGAATTCAACCCCTCTTTAATTAACCGTTTGAACCGCTCGTAGCCTATCTTATGGTAAGCACCCACAACACCCGGTTAGATTCTCAGCCACCTGGATGTTTTGATAGAACATATTCCTCCATTTATACGTTATGATTATTTTATACCATGACCAGATTTCCCAACATGGACCTGGGATGCTACATATCTTGATATTTTTTCATCCTATGTTGTTCTATTTTCATTTGTTCTTGTGTTTACTATGTTTATTATGCCACCCATGTTTTCAGAATATAAACAGATATACATGTCCATCACCTGTTAGATATTTACAAACGCATTACCATCTTTACAATTGGTATCTCCATGTCATTCGATGCTCTACGTTGATAATATATCATTTTAGTGCATTTCTGTTTTTTGACAATGGTTAAGTGTATTGAGCCTTCCTGTACCAGGGGAGCATTGAGTGACTTGGTAAATCATTCCGGTATTATTCATGATTCTCTGATATTATGTTCATGAAACATTGAGTATTTATTGCTGATATATATTCTATTAATATTATGTGGAGATATTCACCCTAACCCTGGTCCTGAAAATGATACTAGCTCTATCTTTCAAAATATTTCTATTTGTCACATAAATGTGTGTTCATTAAGAAACAAGATCCATCTTCTTGATACATGACTATGATATTTTATGTGTTGGTGAAACTCTCTCAATAATTCTATTCCTGACAATGATGTATCACTTTAAAACTATGGTAATCTCTTCAGAAAAGACAGAAACAACTGTGGTGGTGGTGGTGTTCTTATCTGCTCTAAAAATAATCTTATTATCAAGCGAAGAACTGACCTTGAGTCTGAAGAATTAGAATAACTTTGGTTTGAGGCATCCACTCATAATAAGCCTATTTTAATTGATTGTATCTACAGACCTTCAAATTCTCTTGTTAATTACTGGCAAAAACTTGAAAATAATTTAAATGATGTGTTTGATTTACAAAGTAAAGTAATTCTGGTTGGAAATATTAATCAAGATATGCTAAATCTTAGTCCAAACTCTCATTTTTATAGACTCTTATTAAAATACGGACTACAAAATACTGTTACTGAACCAACCAGGATTACTCCTCAATCTTCAACTTCACTTGATATTCTTGTTACTAATAATGTTAACTTTGTTACTAATACATCTGTGCTACCCCCATCTTGTAGTGACCACTCCCCAATTACTGCTAACTTAAACTTCAAGTCTTTTAAGAAACTTGCTTATAAAAAACCCTTTTATATTTCCAAAATACTAATTTTGATGCAGCAAATGAATTTCTTAGTTCTATTGACTGGAATTTTCAATTAGTAGGTGATATTGATGAAATGAATTATATTCTATCTAACAAAATCATCAACAAAATACAAATATTTGTATAACTATCTTTCAAGATACAATATTATCTCTAGAAACCAATCAGGTTTCTTACCAAAAGATTCTACTGTTAATCAACTTTTAATTAAATATGATGAAATTATTAAACATTTGGATAAAGGTAAAGAAGCAATAATGATATTTTGTGATATTAGCAAAGCATTTGATAGAGTTTGGCATGATGGATTAATTTACAAATTTGAAAAATATGGTATTGGTAATAACATGTTATTTATCTGACAGGAAACAGAGAGTGGTCCTAGATAGGTACATGTCCAACTGGAAAACATTACAGGCTGGGGCCCACAAGGTTCAGTTCTTGGTCCTTATCTGTTCTTGCTATATATTAATGATATTGGTGATGATTTACTATCTAATGTGAAATTATTTGCTGATGACACGTCTTTATATGGCCTAATTGAGGGTGACAGGCAAGATGCGGCTGATATACTAAATAATGATCTCCGAAAAAATTTCTAGATGGGCCAATAGGTGGGGTATTATTTTTAATCCGGATACGACTGAATACCTACTTTTTTCTAGGCGAATAGATTCTGAAATGCTGCATCCAAATCTGTATTTTAATAACTCAGTTATTAAAAATGTTACCTGTCATAAGCACCTGGGTCTATTTTTTAACAGTCATGCTAATTGGTCCAACCACATAAGCTTTATGTATGAGAAAGCTTATAAACGAATAAATATTCTTAGAATGTTAAAGTACAAAATTGACAGAAAGTCACTTGAATTAATCAACATTACATTTATTCGTCCTATTTTAGAATATGCTGATATTGTTTGGTCTAACTGCACAGAAAGGGAATGCAACATCTTAGAATCAGTTCAATTAGAGGCAATACCCATTATTACTGGTCTGAAACGGGGCACCAGTCATGCTATCCTTTATAATGAGTCTAGATTAATACCATTAGCTAAACGAAGACACCTACATCAAAATATCCATTTTTAAAAATATTTTAAATAACAGATGCCCTCCTCATGTAACTGATTCTATCCAGCCTTTTATCAACAATAATACTGCTCATTATCCTCTTCGACACAATAGGTTGTTTGATGTGCCCCTTGCAAGAACTCGTCAATATTCTTTCCAAAACTCATGACTGAATGGAACGACCCATTCTGTCTGTTTCCCTCATTGACATCCATTTATGCAATAATAAAAAACATTTTTGTCACAGCCTGTTATCAATCCTCTTTTACAATGCACTGATACTTTTAAATATTACGGTAACAGAAAGGCAAACATAATCTTGTGTCAACTAAGAAACTCTGCAAGTAATCTAAATTTTGACTTATTTAATTCCCACCTTAATGACAACCCTACCTGTACTTGTGGCCACCCAGTTGAAGATCCTACTCACTTCTTTTTCCATTGTCCCTTTTTTACTATCCAAAGACAACTCCTCCTTAATTCTCTTTCTACTCTTAGTGATTCTATACCTCTTACCACTGATACATTTCTTAAAGGATCTCATACACTTGATGCAAATATAAATAAATCTATTCTTGATTTGGTTCAGAGATTCATAACTGATACCGGTCGCCTGTTTTAGCCTTAGTATTCTTATATATACATTTTTTTTCTATTTTAAATTTGAATTTGTTATCTTAAGCTTGGTCCGCCTGTCAATTTTTACGGACTCTGCTCAGGATTGTGGGTATATGGACTGTTTGAACCTGCAGCCTGTGCCGTGATAAATTGACAAACTTTGACTCCATCTTGTTATATATAATTATATTACCTATCTAATCTTACTATTCTTTAACACTATAATTTAAATGATGGTAATGCTTGCCTAACATTTCTGTTAGATAATTATTCAACTGAATCTATATTCTAAATTCTTTTCCTGGAATGCTATTATTATTATTTAATATCTTAAATTTTGATTGATGTGTCTGTGTACTTGTTTAAGTTGTATGGAGAGGGCTTTCATAGGCTCTGCCTGTTGCCCAATTACATGGGTCACCAACATCAAGAAAAATTAAATATTCTGAAATGAAATGAAAATAAATCCGCGTTCAAATTAGTAACAGAATTTCTTCACTGACATTTTCCCTGTCTCCATTAACTAAAAAACGAAATTTACTTCTGTTTGGCATCTGCAGCAGTTAAAAATAAGACATCTT